CTAAGAAACTTACCTCTACAAGCGCAACCGGCGTGTGCTGGCTTCAGGCGCTGCGTGTCGTCGCTGCTAAGAAACCTACCTCTACAATCGCAACGTGTGTCGCTTCGACTTTTAGGCCCCACTACATCTCTTTATTCCCCTATTCTCCTACCTTTATATTTTTTTTTGTAATCTAATTGTACTCTCACTTCATTCATCATCATCCTCATTTCATTTTTTTTATAAAATTGTAAATATCTTTGAATTTTGAATATATTTCTGTTTTTGTTGTATTTTTGTTGTTTTGTTGTTCTTAGGTTAGATTCTTTTTGATATATTATTGTCGCTTCACGACAACGTTCCCAGTCGCCTGTTACAACAGCTACTAGACGAAAGTGGGTAAGTAACTGATATTCAATGCAATTTAATAAAAGATGAAGGTTATCTTTAAAAAAAATTGCTTATATCTATCTAAACAGTGGCCCTGTTGAGGACGTATTGTGTGATTTACCGTAAAGGATACATCTGGTAGCGGCGATGTTCGAAGGTTGGCGGCGTTTCTCACGAGGTAAAAAGTGTCCTTTGTTTGTTACGCGGTGACGATCGTGTCCCCAACTTAGCCAAGGCTGTTGATTATAGTGTGACCCCGGACTCACCACTCGCCGCTTGCATACTGAATACTACTACCGTTTTAAAGTGCACTTACAAAAAATTCTGACTGAACATTTTAATATTATCAAAACGAAAGTTTTGTTAATAAGAAAGTGTTTGTAGGACTGAGGATGATAATTTTCCAGCTTATATAAAGAACAAACTTTATATTATAATATTTCAAAACACTTACTGTCTTTTGCGTCATCCTCAGCCAGGTAGTCCGTTATAGGGAGCATGACATCTGACGTTAACAATATGGTTATACCATCATTTATTGGAACCAAAATAACTTTTTAGCATATTCCATAGTCGCCTCTTACAACATTCATCAATGGGATGAAATGGGGCGATGCATTTTCGTTTTTCTTACGCCGCGCCGTCACTAAATGGCAACCAACTCGGCTTACAAAAACTCACTAACACACAAAAATAACTAATAACGTACGTGAGGGTAATATGGTGATCCGGTTAATGGTCACTTTCTTATAACTCAAAAAAGGCGAGCTAGTATAATAATATTATTATACTAGCTCGCCAGGCAGTACGACTCGTACTGCCCTCTCCGACTTTGTCCGGTGAAAATCCTTAAAATCGCAATAAAAAATTTTGATGGTCATTTATCGAGATTAAAACTATCCTATTTCTTAAGTTGGACAAAACTGCACAGAGTGTGCAGTTTGGTCCAACTTGAGAGATAGGATAGTTTTTATCTCTAAAAGTGACCCTAAATATTTTTTATTACGAATTTAATAATTTTTATAGGACACAAGGTCGTCGAAAAGGGCAGAACAACGTCTGCCTGGTCAGCTAGTATTTATATAGAACATAGAAATATAATTTCCTTTGTTATTTATTATAAATCACCGTATAGTGGCGGAGTAAAAGATTCCACTATCCCTTATCATCCGGTGCCCCATAAGAAGCCACAGAGAGAAATAAAACAAAAGAAAGGCAGCAGCATCTTGCTGCAACAACTGCAAATAATAAAAAACTGCGGTTGCCAACCCGCCTGATAAGTGTGGCAACTATGGCAAATATACCTCAATGAGACAGTCTATGGGGGAGGCTTGTGTTATGCAGTGGACTTTTGACAGACTGTAAGCGGAGATTTTGATCTTTGATTTTAATATAAATACATCGGAGCCAGTAGACATTCGATCGATCGATCGATCAATCGAATTTCTATACATTTAGGCTAACTAATTAACCAAGAACATAATATGTACTTACATAAAATAAAAAAGCTTTATTATTATTAATTAAAATAAATATTGATATTTTTGTGTGTTATTGAGTTTTTGTAAGCCTAAAACTATTATTATAAACCAAAGAGATTTAAATATATAGGTATACTAACTACTTAAATGTCTTTGTGATAAACTAACTATTCACGTGTGTCGTGCGTTACAAGACCTACAACCACAGAGTTATCTACTCTTTTTAGTTACTCAACAACTTTCCGTCAAGACCAAAACAATTTGTCTTTTTCCTAAATCGAAATGTCACACGGAACAGCGTAGCTCGTTATGTTATTATGTCTAACAAAATCTTAGTTCCAAGTTCACACGTGTGAAATACATTATAATAACATATAATTCCTCAATATCCGTTCACGCAATATATGTACTTATACTAGTTTTTTATTTATTTCGCACAATATTTAAAAATTTAATGTAAAAGAAAAAATCGTATATAATATAACTAATTATAAGGCAGTGGCGTAGCATGGGCGGCCATGGCCACATGGCCAATTTTGAGGGGCGGTATTTTGGTTAAAAAAAAGATCAGGAAGAGTTAAAGCAGAACTAAATAGATTTTACCTGCACACACTTGCCAAGGGTAGGGTTAAAAGTAGACTTGCCAGGAATAGTATATTCTGGGGACTTCCTGGCCGAATAGCCGAATATTAGGCGAAAGTTTTCGGCCGGTGTAGCAAGTAGTTTTTATTGTCTGAAGCTGGGATTGTCTACGAGAAGATTAAAAAGAAAAGCAGTAAACTACTGCCTGAAATTAAGAAAAATTAGTCTTCCTGCACCATTATCTTCCATTTAATTACGATAATTCGACATTTTTTTTTAATTTTTATAATATGGAAATTGATTATGTACCTATGATTACTTTAATGATACAAGAAAGAAAAATACAAAATAGATAAGTACCTATTTTCATTTTACCAATTATCTGACTATAATAAAACCTCTTACTTACGTATTCGAACGAATAGGATAAAAGTAGCCAAATAGATCAATAGACCGAATACCGAATAATAGCCGAATATTCGTTGGAAATCTAGTTAAAAGTATTAAAAATACATTATATTCATTTTCTAACACATATTGAAAGACTTACTAATTTAATTTTTAAAATATTACTTGCAAAAATGAGGAGGGCGGACGGTGTGAGGGATTTTATTTCTTCCACTAGCGGCTCCAAGCGGCAGAAAGCCATGTATTCTCACTATGCACGCTACACCACTTTTAACGTAATAAAATCATAATAATCTGCCCGTTAGCAATCTAGCAATCCACTATTGGACTGGCAGGAGTCACCCATACTTTTTTACTCTTTTAAATGCTGCCGTCAGCGTCAGATAGGTAATTATCATCAATCCTATTTAAAGCTTATACATTACTGTGAAAATATGATTTTTAGTTACACATACATACAATATTAAAGAAATAACTTCGAATTAATTGTATTTTTTATTTATAGAGTAAAGGAGACAAATCAGCACACAGTCCACCTGATAGTAAGTGGATGCTGGGGCCCATAGCCATCTTTATTTATTCCCGATTAGGAATCAAAATGCTGATGTGTTGTCACCCCTCTATGATGGAATGCCTCGCTTCCAGTAAGAAGGGTTTTCGGTTCTCTACAATCACCACAAGAAACACATGAACATTAAACTGTTATTTCACGCTGGTATCCTGAGCGAGTAAGCTGAAGGCGTAGTCCTTCCCGGGTCGAGCAGACCCATACGTGCTACAACCATAATATAGCTGCAGCATGGCTCTACAACGCATAAAATTAATTCATCGTCCTTTTTAGTTTAATCCATCATCGTTGTTAATAATGTCCTATAGATCTATTCTGTGTACAGTTTTCAAACACAGGATCTAAGAAGATACTGAAAGAAAGTTTGTTGTTCACCGAGTACCGTTTTTATACACTTACGATTAAGTGTAACAAAATGTGCACACAGTGAATCTGATGGTATGCGGATGTTGAGGGCCATAAACACCTACTTATATTCTCAATGAAGAATTTAAAAATATTATATGTAAATAACTAAGATAGAATCCCTCTTTTCCAGTATAAAATGTCTCCGGTTCTCTACACTCACCATACAAAATACAGCAGCATTAAGCTGCTATTTTACGCTAGTATTCTGTGAGAGCGTGGTGCTTCCCAGCTCGAGCCGATCCATTCGTGCTACAACTACACTATTAATATAGCTGCAGCATGGCTCCACCACGTAAGAATTTTATACTGATATTCTGTGTAAAAATGTAGACCGTAGAGTAACTGATAAAACTTATTATGATCGAAACGGACAGCAAATTCAAGAATGGTTTTCGAACTCCCTTATATGAAAGGTCAAGACTACGCTAACACGCGTTCAATCGAAAACAGTGTAGCAATACAAGCGAATCGTTCATTGAGCGATACCGACGGACCATTTCATTAGCATCGCTACTTGAAACACCTATATTTTAGCAGTGTAGTGGCAAAATTGCAAAATCCTATTACCTACAAACAATAATAACAAAACTGACAACAAAATAAAAATTTTATAATCTGTATTCGCAGAGATCGGAGTCGGATAGAATGACGAAATCATAACGATTTCTTGTAGAACGGTTTAATTAAAGCTTAATAATTTTGATGTTTGCTTGGAATGATTTCCGGAATCATAATTAAATTATTTCTTATCCTTTCGATGACGGGCGCGGTCATGGGTACTGATTTTTTATTTAAACATAAGTTCGTGAGAAATCGCTTTGTATTTTAGCAAGTGGGAATATTTGTGTTCAAATTCGTAAATTGTTTAAAGCTAAACATCACAAACCAATTAAACTCTTATGAAGTATTTTCTTAAAATTTTAGTCATTTAAAATACGTTGCACTACAATATATGTATTTATTATCGATCACATTATTTTTGTCATTAATCTAAAAATAATTTTAATCATATTTTTGTTATTATTATTATTATTAAGTTATTTAAATGTATAATTCTTGTTACCGGAATCCAAAATAATAAACTGTGTTAAAGATAATAAATCTCGTTTGGTTTAATAGCATATAAAAGATTACTTAAATAATGTCCAAGTTGAAAAAGAGTGAATTACATTAAGGTTTACACTTCAAGTTGGACTGTGTCTTGGTGTCCTTACTTCTCTTTTATCAGGCCATCGGTCGGCTGTGTATTGAACGTATCCGGGATCGGTGGGAGTACCAGACGCACGACCATCCAACTCTGTCCCTTCCCTATCTCTTTCTTCGATCGGTTCCATGGGAAATAATGCAGGTGTCTCAGACCTCCTGGACCTCGTAGAGCCCCGAAGATAATCTTCCAACTGTTGCAATGTTGGTGTTGAAACCGTTTTAGCTCTAGAAGGAGATTTCGATTGCCGTTTCTGTTCGTAAGTTGGCGATTCATCGTCGTACAAACTTTTCAGCCTACCAGTCTTCACTTTCGAGAAGACGGGAGTCTGTAGCTCTGGCAAGTAGTCCTCTTTAACAGACAATTTTCTTTCTATTCTATCTAAGTAGTCTCTAAAATATCTTTCGTTAAATTTGGCGAGCTCCCTTTCGTAATGGAGTCGATCGGATTCTGTAAGTGGATCTGATAATTTGACATAATTTTCATTTTCGACACCGTTCCGCAATGAACCAAATTTAGATTTCTCTAACTCTTTCTCGATGACTTCATCAAATTTCGTCGAACCGTTTTTAGGATAGTCAAATAAGTCGGTTTCTTCTTTCTTTTTAACTTCTTCAGTATTATTCTTTTCCAAGTCTAAGTCTTTAGGTCTGTTAGCTTGAATGTGACCATTTGGTTTTCCATTGGTTAAATTTCCGTTGCTAACCGGTGGGGTTATAATAGAAACTTTTTTCTCCAATTTTGGAGAGGAGATATGATCGGTCTGTGAGTGATGACTGGAAAAGTACACCCTTGGACCCATAAGGTCTAGCAAAAAGAGCGCAGCCACTATTAGTGAGAATGTTCCCAGAACTGAAGCGTTCACCACTAGATTATTCGGGATAGAGTCCAAAGAAGCCAATTCTAGTCCACCTGATAATGAAAAAAGTATTATTAAATTAAGAAAAAATATATTTATTGTTTAGTACCTTTTGGCAAAAATAAAAGGGATATTTATGTTTAAATAAAGCTCTTGTGGGCTTGTGATCATTATAACAGGTAGAAATTGTAGGTCCTAGACTGAATTCCAATTAACAACAGTTACTAGACCTGTTGCCATTCGTTTGGTGAATAACGATCGTGTGACTCAAAACTCTCTTTCGATCAGTGCGCCTTGGGATCAAATCCTAGTTGAGACCAACATTTGTGCAAAAACACAAATCTTTAAGATTCAGATGTTTGTGTTTGTCCTAGGTATCCAACACTGAATCTAAGCTTATGTAGGTATGATCTTATCATATAAGCAATACTTCGGATAGTTGTAGTAGTGTGAAGGTACAGACGTGCTCAAAAAATTGCATGCTCATAAGCCTGCTTAAAATTAGCATGCTCTGCAACTACTCACATTTGCCAGCAACACAGATTACCCTCTAATCCTAGGGGGTAATCTGTGGCCAGCAATAAGCACGCTTAATGCCTCCTCTACACTACTCGCGAAGTAGATCGAAGTTGGACGAGACGAATAGTGTAGAGAGGTACTTCGATTCATTTCGTCCAACCTCGCTTCGCCTCGGACGACTTCCGATCGCTGTCGGTTTTTTACGCCAGAGTCAAAGGACTTCGCGAAGTACCCCAAAGTTACACGAAGCGTCACACTACACTACTCGGCTTACGCCAGTTGTGAATATTTTTTTATATATAAATATGAAATATGTAGCTTTCTACATAATTATTTATTTAGTTAACGCATTGACGTCGTACTGTTCACACAATTAGGTACCTATAGCAGCTGCCTCTTGAACGTCATTCGTGTTAAAGGTGCGGGAGACTCAAGACGACTGAGCTTTTCGCGAAGTAGCACGAGTGTGTGGTCACGTTCTTCGGACTGCGATCGACTTCGACGAGCACTTCGTCGAAGTTACTTCGCGAGTAGTGTAGAGGAAGCATAAAACATACTCACAAATAAGCATGCTCAAAGCAAACTTTGGACAGACGTGCCATTTGGCACCAGGCTCTCGGCCAAAATGGATGTACAAAGATATAGTGACAGTGCTATTCGTACAGAACTCAATAAAATTAATTTTAAATTGACGCAGCAAATGTCGCGGATCGAGATCTATTCGATAATAGCATGCTCATAAGCAAACCAACGCGCTCGGCGCATGTCCCCTTCTATTAGCGCCTCAGGTAGCATGCTCGAAAATCAAACGTCGGTTGATTTTTCAAAATAAGCATGCTCATTACTACATTACTAGCAACGTTGCGACAAACGTGCTACTAATGAGCACTTGCTCAATAAAAGCATGCTTTCTTGCTAGTAATGAGCACATCTGTCCGTACCTTACGGTACAGGTATGAGCTTCAAATAATATTGGGTACTTCTGGCGACGCCCAAAATCACTCAGAAGAACTTCAATATATTAATGATGAAGTTCTTCTGAGTGATTTTGGTCGCTTATTACTTGTTATTAAACAAGTGACGAAGACCATAGCAACGTATTGCATTATAACACACGTATTTATAAGTCTTTATCGACAGCGTTTGAAAACTACTCATTATCATTCATTATCGGCTAGTAAAATAAACACTTACCAAGAATAAGGAAGAACAGCATACCAAATCCAAGAAAGATTCCTTCCAATATTCGCCTCCCTCTCGGAATCTCTTGAAAGACTCGTGCTACTATTAAGCCGAATGTTATTATAACATAACCTGTAAAAAATGTCACAATCAAATTATATCATAAGGCTAGAGTGAATAGGCTTTTGTTAAGCTCTGTCGGTGTGCATCACCACTTACCATCAGGTAAGATGGTAGTCAAACACTGGCTTATAATAACAAAAAAATATACAATAAAATGGGGCAATTGACGCCGTCGCGATACGGCGTTACGGGAGCAGCGTTAAGCTCTACTACTGCAGTCTCTCTGCCACCATAACGGTAAACTCTCTCCTCTAAGGGAATTTCATGTTTATAGGATGCCGAAAGATAATGTATGGCATAATAAGGGTTTCACCAACTCGAAAGAACTCTTTCAATTTTAAGATTTTATCACCTCCTCAAGATAGCCAAACTTTTTACTTCACAATTATTATACGGTCAATGGTCAATTATATGGTCAATGATAAGTAAATAATATAATGACAGAGACATTTCATCGTAGTCCTCATATTCGACACTCATATTTCCATCATTGACAACGCACAGAAGCCTACAGCTTTCCTGTTATTTGTTGACTTCTGGTGAACTTGGGCTGCAGTAACCACTTACCATCAGGTGCACTGATGGTACATTAGAGTGATCAACAAGGCTCTAATAAAACAAAATGATTTACATGTTGTATAAAGGGAGCACTTAGTAAAAATTGTATTCAAAGATATTTTGCTCACGTATTATTGCGAACTATGTATGTTGATAGAAATAGGAAGTAAGTTAATACTACCTACTAAGAGTATAAATGATTATTTATACTCGTATTATAAACAACAAGCACATAATTATAAAATGCAACAATATAATACGTACATTTATCTATATAGTATAGGTATATTACTGTAATAAGATTTCACAACTTATAGTATGAAAATTTAAAATTATTGGCCAAATTGAATATGAAATTTATAGTTGAGAATGAAAACAAAATTAACAGAAAAATTAATTCAAAAATTAGGCGGGAAATTGAATATGTGTGGCGTGTGGGAGGCATGTATATTGTATACCTACCTACTGCGAATTTTTTTCCGTCGTAATCTATCTTTAATGCCCGTGTATTAATTAATAGCTAAAATTGCCAGAGACATTGATTTATTAACTCAATGGCCAGAGACGAATAGCTTTGTTGAAATGGCTCCACGAGTCGTCAATTCTAGATTCTAATTTCGATTTATTTTAGGACTAAAATGTAATATCCCACGGGCTTTAATATTACATTAAAACTATATAATACATTATATTACATAATATAATACATCACAGCCATGGGACACATTGCCAGTAAATTAAATATACTAGGCCTCTTCAAGATCGTAGAGGGAAAAGATAGGTACTACCCAAAGAAATCAAATAGACTTTGAATCCAACTCATAACTGCATAAACGTTACATTACGGATAACAGGCACACAAAACGAAAAATATTGATTTGTGTTTGTAACACTGTAAAGTATACGTAATAAAGTATAGAGTATAGCTCTTAATGGTTCCCGATAGTCTGTAATATTCGCCGTGGTTTAAATTGACTCGAAACCTGTAGAACATTATCATGATTAGCAACCAATAATGACCTCCATACACAGCGTCAGCGAAGGCACCTCCAACTGAGTCCCACGTAACGGAGGTGAGCAGCGACCACTCCCTCGAAAACTTCTGCAGCAGCAACGCTAGCCGTGCCTCGTCATCCGTTGAAATCCTCTTTGTCACCAGGCAGGCAACGCACATCAACTGACATGGAGAAAAATAAAAAAGATAACTATTATTAAGCCGCCTGTTGAAGATGATAAATTGGCACGTTTTAAAAAAAAAACACGTTCTTCGATGGGAAGTTTGCGGGCAGGCAATGTCATAATATTGTCAGTAATAAATTTTCAAGCCGTTCTTATATTTTATAATTAATCATTACGAGAGCGAAGTCGCTTTTAAAGGCAGTATTTTATCTTTTATTAACTATTAACTACGATGAACTAATAAAATAAAGCTTTTGTAGCAGTGCATAGTTTCCTGCTTGCTGGCATCGTATAAAATAGTATCGTTATAAAATAAAATTATAAAGCATTTAAAAAAAGAGGGAAAACCCAGAGTGAACGAGGTGTACGGTGTACGCGTTTCAAGAGTTTCACATCGCACGCAGACAAGCGCGAGGTTCACCTACAATGGCAGATAGATAACATAACAAAACACATGGGTCGGTACTCGGTAGTAATGGTAGTACTAAATATAGCGTTATTTTCTCGGCCCGCTACCACATGAGTAAATGACTCATGTGCTGCTACTGAAAAGCAACGCGCGCCTGTCTATGTGCGTTGCGAAACACCTGTATAAAACTTTCGCACTTCCGGTTCACTTAGAGTGACAAACAATCAACCGGTTCATCTTAAAGTAGGTGGCCATGCAACTCTTGTAGCAAATTATAAATAAAATACTACAGGTTGTGAACCCTGGCGGTAGTTCGGGTATAGGGGAATGCTTAAAGAATCATAATATGCCAGTAAACCGAATTTGATGACCTCCGGCAGCACTAAATTTTATTTGTTAATTTAGTTGCAATTTTAAGCTATGATTTAGGAAATACTCTTGAACATAGTTAGGAAATCACGATAACAGAGCAATTAAAAATATGTCTACGGCATGTCAAATCCGCCAAAATGCTTCAGGATAACGCGGCAGACTTCTAAAATCCAAAATCCTCTCGAACATAAGGAAGTCCCATCCCCTTAAACCCAAACCCGAAGTTATGATACGCAGTGGCGTAGCAATGGCAAGTCCATGGCCTCTGGCGGCAGATTTTAGGGGCGGCATTTTAGGAAAGAAGAGTTAGTCCCCCACCATAACTTTGTAAATGATGGCAGTGGAAATCTCAAAACGGCATTTTAGCTGTGACAGATCTCGGCGACAGCAACCCGTCATACACCACTGCGCATCGGTAGGACATAATATATTATTATACTATATTAATATAAAAACCAAGCTTTGCAATTACGTATGGAAACTCTAGTTCAAAGTAGGTATAGTAATTAAAATAATTCATTGTTGGAAATAACATAAAATTACCAGTTTAATAATGATGAGAACGTTTTTTGCACACACACACGTGCTTTATACAAATATGTTCATGCGGATATTTTAAAAGGCAACTTTATCAAAATTATTATTAAGCAAACCCATTCTAGGGACATACTGTTTTTCATACTATATAGTAAAATTCTTTGACTGAAAACTTAGGACTTATTTACTACTTTTACTTACTAACTTTATTCATTATATAATTACGCTCCGAATAAAATTAAAAATCGATATCATCATTTGAGATGTAGAGATATAAGAAACTAAAGAGTTCACTAACATACGATTCGAGAACGTACAAGCACACATTGACATGCTTTAAAACAGTTATACGAGTACTAGTATCGAGCTCCTACTTGGTTACTAGGGTCAAATCCCAGCCGGAACCCACATTAATGCGAAATCCAAATTTTTTTGGTTTTCTGGTCTAGATTTGTCGAGATTGTCCTAGTTTCACTGACACATCGTATTCTACCTCCAACCTTTTTGCATAAGCAAGCACGTGTGGACCGGGCTGGATTCAAACGCAGGCCCACAGCCAAACGTTTAGCCGCTAACGAAACCGTTAAACTATTATATATACTGAGTACCGTTAAAGTTAACGTTACAGCTTATATACGTCCCAGTGCTGGGCACAGGCCTCCTCTCATTTCTGTGAAGGTTTTAGGGCAAGGAAATGTCCGCCGCGCTGCCCCAATGCGCGTTCGCTAACTTCAAATGTCTTAGAAAGACATGCAGGTTTCCTCAAGATGTTTTCCTTCACCGCCGAGCACGTGGTAATGAGTACCGCACTTTATTTTAATATAAAGCGTTACATATTTAGTCAAGGTACAATTTTTATATTAGGAATTATATTATACCATGGATATGTATTGAAAATGGAACAAACTTATGGTACAATGACCTAGCCACGGTAGTGACAAGTCTTCCAACCTTACGACGATAAGTTTCTCGCTTTATGACGTTACCGTCCACCGTGGGAGCGGCATTGAACAAATTGTGTACTTCGTACTAACTCACCGCTTTTGTTTATCAAGTTAATTCTAACTTTGGAACACAAATACTTACATGTAAACATCTATACAAATAAACAAAATTGAAGAGTCTGTTTGTAATGTGAAAATAACACATTTTTAATAAATGCATATGAAAGTTTATACGGTACACGCTTACATAGGCTTAGAATACACTTTACTATCCTAAATATATGGGTACAGTCAGGTCCGGCAACTTTACTAATGGATGTTAATTTTGCCTTCAGGGGTGTACTGGTACAAAATTACGATTAACACGGAAAGCGTAACGCTTTTCGAGATAAGCCATGTTTTGGATGAAAATAAAATAACTAATTGACAGCATTACTTTCGATATGGCAACATGAGAGTTAATTTTGGCATTTTATTTTAACGCGGAATTGTCCCGGCGAAATAACCTCTTTGTTCGGTGCTTCAGAACTGTAGTTTTTATTGTTTGAAATACTGAACGTAAGGTATCTATATCTTTGTAGTACGTGGTAGAGCCATGCTGCAGCTATATTAGTAGTATAGTTGTAGCACGAATGGGTCGGCTCGACCGGGGAAGGACCACGCTCTCACAGAATACCAGCGTAAAATAGCAGCTTGAAACTGCTGTGTTTCGTATGGTGAGTGTAGAGAACCGGAGACCATTTTTACTGGAAAAAAGGCATTCTATCTTAGTTTCCTCACGGGTGACAACGCATCTGTATTTTGAGTCGTAAATTCTACATGTTCCGCGCAAAAAAAAAATCCAATCGTAATAAATAAACAATGAGCGAAGTCGCAAGAAGCAGCTAGTATTAAATAAATAATTGTGCCAACAAACAACCATGGTAGTCTGTCACAACACCAACATAAAGTATAAGTATAGTAAATAATGCCTCTATATACATTTCATAATTTTACAGCAGATTTTTAGGTTATGAATCTTAGTTCTATCTAGACGTTTCAAAGAAATAAAACGAATAAAGGTAATCAATAATCATCGATATTGGTTAACGTGGGAAAGTGTTATTCGCCTATAGATCGTGGAATGCCTTTGCAAATTGAAGAGTATTGATTTTATCATGGACGATGGGTCCATCTCCTGGCTTTTTCCCTCTGTCGTCTCTTAGGAAACACATGTCACGATATATTTTAACACCACCACTACACACTGAACATAACATATATAATAAAAATTGCGGCGAATTGAGAACATCCTCCTTTTATTGAAGTAGGTAGGTACGTACGATAAAGCATTCAAACTTATGAAAAACAAAATCATTATTATATTATTATTAACGGACTTTTCTTCATCGAGATTACTTATAACTAATTTTTTGTATTATAGTGGATTAAATGATCATAAATATGATTCTCATCTCAATTCTCAGGGTCTTTGAACCTATACGGGCACCAATTTCCCACGAATGACATAATATTTTTAAAATAGAGACATGCAGAGAACACTGATGTATCTTCCATGTAGTTTGTGGTGATAAAATAAATTATTATTATTATTAGTTATATTATAAGTACTTATTTTATATAAATATATTTATACTTATTTATAGTTTTTATACGCGACAAAACCCAATTCAGTGCCCGCCACTGTCAATTCATTTAGTTATTTATAAGACATCAGCAGTACACACATTATAACATTTTTTATTAAAAGTAAACTTAATCTAGGGACTAGATGTGTGCACCCATATCAGTCCCTAGATTATATTTATAGGTGACACAGCATTACTGAACAATGAAATTGCTAACTACAATTTTAAGGCGACACCGCGAAAAAATGCACCTCCTTTCATCGAATAGTATAGGAGTATGACACTACTAAAGAAACTGGAATTTTGATATAGGTAAATTCATGTCTTTATCTTGAGTTTGCTTGCTCAAAAACACGATTGTAAAATTTTGACTCGATCATAATTATTTGCGAAATCACCTCTAAAATATCACTTTAGTTGAAATTACAACGAAATTACTTAATCTATATGCTTGGAAACCACTCGAATACATTCATAACATCAATATTCGTAATTTACTTGCTCATTATTTTGATTGCTAAAATCAATAATTTTTTAAAAATATTTTAAGATTCTACGCGATTTCTAAGCGGTTTTAATAGTCGCGGGCGCTACGCAATTTTAGACCTTATGACGGCGTTTTTGAAGTTTTTATAGAAATTATGTTTTACTCTGGTTAGTCCGGCGATAGCCCGCTTCAACGGTTTTCGCGGTGTCGCCTTAAGTGCTGACCAAACAGGTTTTCGGCGGTGAAAATTTCTTAAGAAAATGTAAAATATACATATTAGCATATTACAGCCTATTACTGCTAGACGCAGGTTTCCCCTAATTTCTGAGAAAATTTTAGTTTTAGGGCAAGTGTACGTCTCAATGCCCCAACGCGTGTTGACAGACTTCACTTGCCTTCGAAATATTTATTTTTATTTCTCCGATATACAAATTTCTCCACGATGTCCTCACAACTTGCATGTCGGCAATAAAATATGTATAAAATTTCAAATTAAAAATACCACCATCAACGCATAGGGATTGCGGGCCCTACACCTTATGCTCCAAAATCGTCTTAGCACAGTTAACTTATGTTAGTCAGAGACCTTTTAGTAATGAGACGGAGCCTGTGACCAGCTAT